GCATGATGTTCATTTAGTACATTATGGTCCATTTAGAGTCAAATAGATTGATAGACGCATTTTTTTCATCCATTCCCCAGGTATTACGAGCAGGACCTGGCCTTGGCGAAGGACCTCCAAGACAAACTGGCCCAGGCTAAAGCCTACTGTAACCTGGGTCTGGCCCACAAAGCACTGGGGGAGCACAAGAAGGCAGAGGAGTGTCAGAGATACCTGCTCTCTCTAGCACAGGCCTTGGACAACACACAGGTCAACTACTACTACTACCACCACTGCTGTTGTGTTCAGCCAACACACACAGGAAGTGGTTGTTAATCACGTGGTTGTGTTTGCCAGCAGGCGATGTTCCGGGCCCTCGGGAACCTGGGCGACGTCTATGTGTGTCGGAGCGATCTTCCAGGAGCTCTGAGGTTCTACCAGCAGCAGTTAAGTCTGGCTCAGAAGGTCAGCGATCAGAAGATGGAGGCTGACGCCTACTCGGCTCTTGGATCGGTTCACAGGTAATAAAAAGTCAGCAGAGATTTTCAACTGTGTGTTGTTTTCTTCTTCTTCTTCTTCTTCTTCTTCTCTTATCGCTCTTTTGTCTCCCGTCAGGCTGCTCCGCCAGCTGGACGCGGCCTTGTCCTTCCACAGCCAGGAGCTGACCGTCCGAAAGGATCTGGGCGACCAGCAGGGGGAGTGCCGCGCCCTCGGCCACCTGGCGGCCGTCCACATGGCTCTGGGGGACTACGCCACGACCTTCCAGTGTTACGAGGCCCAGCTGGGCCTGGCGCAGGGACTCAGGGATGCCCGCCTGGAGGCGCAGGTCCACGGGAACATGGGCATCACCAAGATGAACATGGGGGTGTTTGAGGAAGCGATCGGCTATTTTGAGCAGCAGCTGGCCATGCTGCAGCAGCTGAGTGGACCCGAGAGCATGCTGGACCGAGGCAGGGCCTACGGGAACCTGGCAGACTGCTACGACGCTCTGGGAGACTACGAGGAGGCCATTCAGTATTACGAGAAGTACCTGACGGTGGCTCAGAGTCTCAACCATGTCCAGGACCAGGAGAAGGCCTACAGAGGACTCGGCAATGCACACAGGTAAACGTTGGCAAACCGAAGGAAATACGCTCATTCGGTTTATTTTTGAGAGTTTGATGAGAAGATCAAAACCACTCTCATGTCATCACCCATTGGTTTGTGGACTGACGTTATGATGCTGTTT